ATATAATACACTGCCGTTCAAAAGTTTGGGATCAGTAAGATTTTTAATGTTTTTTAAAGAAGTTTCTTATGCTCATAAAGGCTGTATCTATTTGATCAAAAATATGTAATTTTGTGAAATATTGCGATTTAAAATAACAGATTTCTATTTTAATATATTTTAAAATATAATTTATTCCTGTGAAGCAAAGCTGAATTTTCAGCATCATTTGCACAGTTGGGTGAGACTTGAGCTGGTCGACCCACATTAAAAAGTCTTGTTCACTTTCAGCTTGTTGTTTACAGATCATGGACATTTTTTTTGGGGGGGGGGGGCGTGTATGATCAGTATTGACCTGGAGCGTTTTTGTTTTGCACTCCTTTAAAAGAGCCGTTTTGGGGAACAAACCAAAAATGTTGCCTTATGTGTGTGGATCTCATCAGACAGACAGACATGTAGTTAGACGCAGCAGTAGATCTGTTCCTGTGAGGCTCACAAATTTTAATTTGTTCTTGCATTTTTAGCACACACACGCACACACACACACATCCTCTGTCTGAGGCATTGAAGAGTTTCGTTCCTTGTTCGTGCTTTCGGTAAATAATGAAAACGGAGAAAGAAGGGGAAATGGACTCTAGTGTTAATATTTGCGTTTCTCTTTTAGTTTTGTCCTCACGCTCTGATATGAAGGTTTCAGTTCAAATACACAACCATACAACAAACTGCCGTTACTGTAAAGGTCTCTCAGGCAATTCAGAGCACAAGTGTGAATCTCACGAAACCCGCCAAGAGCATGTCTGCGTCGTATTTCACTGCGAATCCGTAAAGAAAAAGAACTCATATTTTGCATGAGGAAAATTTTGCATATTTTTAGTATCATTTAGATGTTTTGCACCACAACATTTTCCTCACCATAATGCAACAAAAATCTCATCACTGCAAATACAGACATATCATGTAATAATAATTATATAAAATATTATTCACATGTTATCTAAATAAAATGATTTAAATAACATTCAAATGTTATTTAAAAAGAATAACGATTTAGGTGTTTTGGTAACGCTTTACAATATGGTTTTATTTGTTTACATTAATACTCTACAGTAGTTAACGTGAACTAAAGCCCCATTCACACCAAGACCGATAACGATATTAGCGTCCACACCAGCGAACGATATCGTCTGTTTATTCTAAGCGCAGGTGCGTCTGCCTCTTTAAATCCTCGAGCTCATTATAGCAGGATGGATTCTGATTGGCTGTCAGTGTTTTATCGTTCATCAGCTGGAAAAAAATCGTTCTGAAAATGATTCCAACGATATCGTTTCTCTGTGCCTTTATCGTTATAGTTATGGTGTGGACTCTGCTATTCTTCAATATTGAGAACGATTTTTAGAACGATATCTTTATCGTTATCTTTATAGTTATCGTGCTTGGTGTGAACGGGCCTTTAACAAAGAATAACAGTTATACAGCATTTATTAATCTTAGTTCATCCTAATTTTAGCATTAACCAGTACATTTTTAATTAACAAATTATTTTTGTTAACATTAGTTAATGCACTGTGAACTAACAATTAATTGTTATTAACTGACAAAGATGTAAGTTAGTATTAGTTGGTAAATTAACTAAAGTTAACAAATGAGACCGTATTGTTGTTAAGTGTTACCAGTATTTATATGCTGTTGGTATTTGTTATTCTGACTTCAAAATAAATCAAATAATAATATACATTTTGTAAAAGTATTTTTATCATATATAGTGAAAAGTTCAAAAAATCTATAATTTCCATCCATAATAAATATTTTTTTTTAAAACTGCAAAGTAAAACCTTTGTATTAATTACAACCTTTTTGTGCATTATGGTAATGAAAATGTATGACATAATGTGCAAAAATCAAAATAGCCCTATTTTTTTAATCTAAATTCTAATTTCTTATTTTTATCTTTTTGGTGTGAAATACGACCTGCGCATGTTTTCGTGGGATTCGCCCACAAATCTGCCCACCGATGTGGTGAAACCTGCCCGGATATGACTTCTTATGGCTTTGTCCTGAACCCCTCCCCTCTGACATGCTGAAGCGGCCCATTCTAAAGCTCCTACGCGCTCCAGACCCGAGAAGCGTTCAGGACAGACGCGTGAAGGCTCATGCTGGGCGGCGCTCACCTTTACTGTACAGAGCTACAGGTGTGTGTCACTCTCAGCAGCACAGAGAGAGACGATCAACCACTGACCCTCACTTCTCACCACACAGAGAGAAAACCTACTGTTGGACTGTTCCTGAAGATGTAAATACAAACCTCTCGCTCTCTTTTTACCGTCACTGTTACATTACCACTATTTTTGTTTTTGCGTAAAGAAGTTATGATCCTGTCTCCATAGCTGTGGAAATCTTATGATGTCTGCGTTTGGAATCAATACCAAGTCAGATCACAGACTCATTATATGTGCAACTGAGCCATGCAATAGCAGTGTTTAATTACAACCTTTTTGTGCATTATGGAAATGAAAATGTATGACATAATGAGCAAAAATCAAAATAGCCCTATTTTTTTAATCTAAATTCTAATTTCTTATTTTTATCTTTTTGGTGTGAAATACGACCTGCGCATGTTTTCGTGGGATTCGCCCACAAATCTGCCCACCGACGTGGTGAAACCTGCCCGGATATGACTTCTTATGGCTTTGTCCTGAACCCCTCCCCTCTGACATGCTGAAGCGGCCCATTCTAAAGCTCCTACGCTCTCCAGACCCGAGAAGCGTTCAGGACAGACGCGTGAAGGCTCATGCTGGGCGGCGCTCACCTTTACTGTACAGAGCTACAGGTGTGTGTCTCTCTCAGCAGCACAGAGAGAGACGATCAACCACTGACCCTCACTTCTCACCACACAGAGAGAAAACCTACTGTTGGACTGTTCCTGAAGATGTAAATACAAACCTCTCGCTCTCTTTTTACCGTCACTGTTACATTACCACTATTTTTGTTTTTGCGTAAAGAAGTTATGATCCTGTCTCCATAGCTGTGGAAATCTTATGATGTCTGCGTTTGGAATCAATACCAAGTCAGATCACAGACTCATTATATGTGCAACTGAGCCATGCAATAGCAGTGTGAATGACCCCTGACCTTTGACCCCCAGCCCTCCTGCGTGTGATGTACATATGCAATGACTTCTGTTTGTTACGGGTCACACCCGTTATCGTGTGTGACTAAAGTGAAAAAATATGAATTGAAAAATGACAGAATCATTGGAGGACCGTGTATCATGTGGGTGTTTCCATAGAGACGACTTGCTATGGTTTCAATCCCATCCTGTTTGTACCTGATCCAGTGAACGCTTTGGAAGCTGCCGGTATTCGTTGCGGTTCTTCATAGCGAATGATACGAGTGTGTGTGAGATTGTTCGTTAAACTTTCAGTTGTTATTTTCACACCGTGACGCATTCGGTCGGCTAACGGGAAATCCTCTGCAGATTTTCTAATGTTGTTCCGATGACTGAGGTTTTTTTTTTGGGGGGGGGGGGGGGGGCGAACGCAATGTTCAGCTGTTTCAGCGTATTTTTGTACTATAGATGTAATTTAGTTGTATTTATTTTCGTATGTTGGGATGAAGGATGCTGTCGGCCGCGTTTATTAAGTGCTTTCTCTCCCTCGTTATTTTTT